TGGGATAGGGTAACTAAAATCGGCTTTCTGAGTTAAAAGAATAAGATTAAAAAAAATTATTCCATAATTTAACAGAAAATAATATTTTCATCAATTCTACAAACATTCATACATATCTGATAACACACTTGGAAGAAATTGTATGAAGGTGTTCTGCAAATGATCAAAACCCAAAAAATCACCTAAAACCACATGTTGTGTTAAATTGGTATAGATCTTTGACCGATCATAGCACAAAAACGAACACACGGACATGTAGTTTGTTTTTGCATTTTCTTCTATGCCATTAACTCCTTTTTTTTTCAAAAATCCATCTAAGATTTAAAAAAGATCTAAAAGTTTAATACAGGACATTTTTGACTTCTCAGAGGTGTACATCCTTAAGTCCTTTGAAAAGAAGTATTCCATAAAAATCACTTATTGCGATACATTTTACATAATTATGGTTGTACGAAATTTGACTTTTTGAATAAAAGAAGAAGAAGATAAAGGAACTGTTGGATTCGAACTCAGGACATTTGCATTGCAACGTCGACGTATAATTTACGGACCGCAAAGCCTGTGATAACTTGAAAGGATAAGCTACAAACATCTAGAAAAAAAAACTCCTTTAGGATGTTTCATCTTCTATGTAGCTGTACCCAAAACGGGACAGGACCCAAAACGGGACACTCGTGGGGATATGACCCAAGAAACTGTCATGCAATGCAAAGACGTACACGTACATTTATGTACGCAGTTTTCACTTGATAATGTTTATATGAGAACTTAGCTGTATACAAGCCTGATTGGCTGTTGATTATCATTACATGAACAAATTGAATTTAAGAATATTGACCAAAACAAAACTGTCGTTATTTGGGTATCATTTTCAAAAGTCTATTTTATCACAACTAATGCTAGTTTTATTAGTTCTAATGTTAAATTTCACGCGATACTTAATTACATTTATAGCAAGGTAAGTGGAAAAAAAACGCATACAATTCGTATATATGTATTGGGACACGAACACCGATCTCATCTACACAACATTCCAACATATACACTTATTTGGTGAAAATAGATTAAAAAGGAAGGATCTTTTGTCGGCTTAATTTACCACAGAATCAATCATTATCTTGCAAGTTATATTTTGATTGATAGCAGAAGTTTCTCGATAATTTGGACAACATCTGTCGGCCCGTAGCTTTGCATTATTGATACTTGTTAGATCGCCGGTTACTGTGCGTCCTCCTATGTAGACCATTAGTTGTACATATACTCTTGTTGGAAAAATAATATAAATACGAAAAAAACGACACACATATTAAGAATTAGTTTGTCGATGCAGAAGGCTCGAAAAATAAACATTTTACAGTGCCATATAAGGTCACTCCGTCCGTTTAGGTATCATCAATGGTATTTAAGGTCAGATACCGAAAACCAAAGTCCCAAATGTTCATGAACTTATAATATACCATGAAGAATATTTCGAAAAGGGAAGGTTTCCTACAAACCCTTTATAAAGTTATCTGCAAACCCGTTATAAAGTTAATTACAAACCCTTTATAAAGTTAATTAAAAACCCTTTATAAAGTTAATTACAAACCCTTTATAAAGTTACCTACAAACCCGTAATATAGTTACCTACAAACCCGTAATATAGTTACCTACAAACCCTTTATAAAGTTACATACAAACCCGTTATATAGTTACCTACAAACCCGTTATAAAGTTACCTACAAACCCGTTATATAGTTACCTACAAACCCGTTATATAGTTACCTACACACCCTTGATTAAGTTTCCTACAAACCCTTTATAAAGTTACCTACAAACCCTTTATATAGTTACATACAAACCCGTTATATAGTAACCTACAAACCCGTTATATAGTTACCTACAAACCCGTTATATAGTTACCTACAAACCCTTTATATAGTTACATACAAACCCGTTATATAGTTACCTACAAACCTGTTATATAGTTACCTACAAACGCTTTATATAGTTACCTACAAACCCGTTATATAGTTACCTGCAAACCCGTAATATAGTTACCTACAAACCCTTTATATAGTTACATACAAACACGTTATATAGTAACCTACAAACCCGTTATATAGTTACCTACAATCCCTTTATAAAGTTACCTACAAACCCTTTATATAGGTACCTACAAACCCGTTATATAGTAACCTACAAACCCTTTATATAGTTACCTACAAACCCGTTATATAGTAACCTACAAACCCTTTATAAAGTTACTTACAAACCCTTTATAAAGTTACCTACAAACACTTTATAAAGCTACCTACAAACCCGTTATATAGTTACCTACAAACCCTTTATAAAGTTACCTACAAACCCTTTATATAGTTACCTACAAACCCTTTATATAGTTACCTACAAACCCGTTATATAGTTACCTACAAACCCGTTATAAAGTTACCTACAAATCCGTTATATAGTTACCTACAAACCCGTTATATAGTTACCTACAAACCCTTTATATAGTTACATACAAACCCATTATAAAGCTACCTACAAACCCTTTATAAAGTTACCTACAAACCCTTTATATAGTTACCTACAAACCCTTTATATAGTTACCTACAAACCCTTTATAAAGTTACCTACAAACCCTTTATAAAGTTAATTACAAACCCTTTATAAAGTTACCTACAAACCCGTTATATAGTTACCTACAAACCCGTTATATAGTTACCTACAAACCCATTATATAGTTACATACAAACCCATTATAAAGCTACCTACAAATCCTTTATAAAGTTACCTACACACCCTTTATAAAGTTACCTACAAACCCTTTATAAAGTTATCTACAAACCCTTTATATAGTTACCTACAAACCCTTTATAAAGTTACCTACAAGCCCTTTATATAGTTACCTACACACCTTTATATAGTTACATACAAACCATTAATAAAGCTACCAACAAACCCGTTATATCGTTACATACAAACCCGTTATAAAGTTACCTATAAACCCGTTATATAGTAACCTACAAACCCTTTTTAAAAAGTTACCTCCAAACCCTTTATATAGGTACATACAGACCCTTTTTATAAAGTTACCTACAAACCCATTATATAGTTACATACAAACCCATTATATAGTTACATACAAACCCTTTTTATAGTTACCTACAAACCTGTTATAAAGCTACCTACAAACCATTTATAAAGCTACCAACAAACCAGTTATATAGTTACCAACAAATACTTTATATAGTATCATACAAACCCATTGTAAAGCTACCTACAAATCCTTTATAAAGTTACCTACAAACCCATTATAAAGCTACCTTCAAATCCTTTATAAAGTTACCTACAAACCCATTATAAAGCTACCTACAAACCCGTTATAAAGTTACCTACAAATCCGTTATATAGTTACAAGTTACCTACACACCTTTATATAGTTACATACAACAAACCCGTTATATCGTTACATACAAACCCATTATATAGTTACATACAAACCATTAATAAAGCTACCAACAAACCCGTTATATCGTTACATACAAACCCGTTATATCGTTACATACAAACCCGTTATATCGTTACATACAAACCCTTTATAAAGCTACCTACAAACCCTTTATAAAGCTACCAACAAACCCGTTATATAGTTACCAACAAATCCTTTATATAGTATCATACAAACCCATTGTAAAGCTACCTACAAGCCCTTTATATTGTACCTACAAACCCTTTATAATGTACCTACAAACCCTTTATATTGTACATACACACCCTTTATAAAGTTACCTACAAACCTTATATATAGTTACCTACACACCTTTATATAGTTACCTACAAACCCTTTATATTGTACCTACAAACCGTTTTTTTCACCCTTTATAAAGTTACCAATTTACAAGATTTGGCGACGACAGAGATCTGCAATATGACGGATTCACGACAGAAATTCCTATGGTTTAGACATTTAGTGATGTCACTTTGTTACTTGTCGTTTATAGTTAGCTTGTACAGTGTGATGTGAAGGATTTCTATCCTGTATCAGAAATAATGTTTTTATCATTTTTTAACGTCCCCAAAACATGCTATGCACAGGAATGTTTCCCCCGGCATGACTATAGTTTTGATGAATCATTTCTGAAAAGAAAACCATCACGTGCGAAATTAAGGGGATGCTATGTATATACACGAGAAACCAACACGGAATCTCAAGTGTTGTGTCTACAGTGGGATTCTTATATGTATATGTTTGTACGATTTATGTTGCTAAATGTCGTACTCTATTCATAACTGGATCTTTATTGCTCAGATTGATTATCGTCGATTCTGAAAATAAGGTGATCCAGCAAATACATATTCATGATATGGCTTATGTTTGTTGAATCAAATGATAAACAGACCATTGTCTTCCTTATTCTATCAGGGATGTAACACGTGCAGTATAGATGTGCAGAGGAGTATACATTGGTCTGAGGTGGAAGTTGCGGTATCTGTGCTGCAGCATTCAAGTGAGGTGGCACTATAAATGATGCCGTTGGAAGCACGGTCCCACTACAAACAGAACGCATTACATCTCCAGCACACACGCAGACATACACACATAGGGAGATTCCTGCGAATTCCTCAAAATTGTATTGACCAATGTATATATGCTAATTGTATCAATTGTTTATCTATGTACTGTAAAGCTCTTTCGAGCGGCTTATGTTTGCTAGATAGGGCGCTATATCAAAAATTATATATAATTATTATTATTTTAGATATAATTAGCGTCTTGTGTCATATAGAACATATGCTGAAATATTACAGTTAAATAAAAACAATTAAAAAAGAACAATAAATAAATAATAAAGTAAAATATTTATTGAAGTGTCATGTTTTATCATATATTTATATACAAAGAACAAAAAATCATCAAAAGATCCGGTCAGTTCTGACCTACATTAATTCTGTACGAGATTTACATGTAAATAAATATACAGCTTATTACATGTATTTCTGTAAAAGTACTTGAAATATATTTATCAATTACATTGTTTTTGTTATAGTAATTTAATTCAAGTTTCTGACGAGCCTCCTTTTCTACCAAAAACCTGCACATTCAGTATGCTACCAGATTGTTTCGTGTTTAATGACCAAATAAATGTACCAAAAGATCTGAGTTTGTTTCCATTCTAATCACCAGGTTTAATACAGTGTGTATACGTTCTTTATGTTTGAAGTTTCTGTTCCTAAAGATAACGCCAGACTCCCGTTCAAGAACACTCCAAACGTTGAGGGTCTCCTCAAATGACTTTTTTTCTTTACTAGATCTTCAACTTAAACAATTCTAACACGTGATTGTATTTCGTGTGATGGTTGGTGGGAATTTATCTTCCCTATATAGCTACTGTTGATGTATTTTGAGGTAAGCTAGTCTTACCAGGGCTACTTTTGTCTAGCGAACAGTTTGAATCCAGTAACATTCTGAAATGGCCCGCACTGTGTTTCTGATTCATATAAGCGACATTCGACAGAAGTTGACGATTGGCGGAAAACTGCCACGACTCCGCACGTAGCACTAAGGGAACAAAGCTGGTAACAGCGGAAGTAGGTCCGTGTCGTGTTCGTGCTCAGTTCAACCGGAAACGGCAATTTGTCGTCAGCAATCTTCACAAATTTCGACGTGGAACACAGACCTTGGAAAAATAAAAATAAAAATAAACAGTTTGTTTTCAATTACAAGAGGAGTGACAGAATGAGTGAAAAACAAAAAAAAACCCACATGTATATCTTTACATTGGACGCACATTTTAACAAGAGCGAATTTTGGAGGAATTTTTTTGTTGTATTCCAGCATTTCAAAGGGCCCTATATCATTTTCTGTATTTCATTATGATAGATTGTGTTTTTCTATTTGCCGGAACTAACCGTTTTTTTCTAAAATTGTACATATTAACAAATTGGTTTGTGAAGTTTCCCACGGAAAGAGACCACAAACAAAATGGTGGATTAGAATAAGAACGATTTGTTTTTACGGTGGTTAGGATTGCCTCTCCCTGTGAAAGTGATAGAATTATCTATTTACTATAACTGTAGTTCATAAGTAAATAGCAATTCAATGTACAGTGAAGGGAGTCTCGTTAGAGGGAATTCACAGGAGGAGCGAAAGATTGTCAAATACTTAGTTAAGAGGAGTAGCGTGGAATTTAACTATGAACAGACTTAATTATTGTCTCGGATAGTAAAGGGGGACATTTAGAGGAGCATATTGATAAATGGAAGGTTGACAGGCAACATATTAATTGTTATCACAAAAGCGGACGTCGAGGAGTCGATGGTCTGCACAACATTGAAAAAATAGACCAGAATTGTTTCCCCTTGCATAGCCGTGTCTATTTGGCCACGGTGACTTGGCACGGTACTTGTGACTTGACTTCGAAACAAGGACAAGTTATATTCCCTCGTTTCCAGGAACATCAATCGGAGAGTGTGGAATGTGATACTAAAGCCCTATTTTCGCGCTCTAAGGAAGTAGTGGAAAGCCATAGCCTACAATTTTTATGTGTTTTTTTTTAGATTCCACAAATATCTGCGATAAAATGGAACAAACAACGGGAGTAGGAACACTGGAAGGCTCAACAGCTTCAGAAGGATGACCATTCAATTAATAAGATGGTGAACACTTATAATAGTGTAGTTCGAGAATTCTACAGAGAGTGTGGCTTTCAGTCCCATTAATTTGAAAAGGACTCGTAGAGATCCAGGAAAAATAAACATACCATAACTTGTAACCTCCTGCAGGATGATGTCTACCCAACGAAATTGGTAGCTAAGTATTGGTTACTCAAGATATTTGAAAAAGCATTCAAGAACAACACTACTATAATAATTTGAAAGACTGTATGTGCCCTGGATTGCCGTGCTTCCCTAATTACAACTATTGAATTACCAACAGCATGTCCAACGCTCATTTTACCCTAAAACCCAGGTTGTTGTCCAAAGACACAGATAAAACAACAAATTTATGTTAAAGAAAGTTTACTGTAATAGATGTGACAAGGAACTAGATGCTGCAGATGTAGAATGTGTGGGATGCAAACTATTCTATTGCCTGCACTGTGCCACAATATCTGATGGAGTCTACCAATGTATCAACAAAGGTCAACTTGAAAGATTTAGATGTAAAAGCTGTACAAACACCATCGCTACATTGGAAACGATAGACACAACGCTAACAAAGATACAGGTATAGAGGATAGATTGGCACACCTGCAGGTTAAAGTAAAAGACGGAGTGAATACCGAAATTGAAACAACTAAAGGTGAGACAATGGACAATATCAAAGGTTGAGTCAACCAACTAACGAGAGGTGCTATGAACTAGAGGGCAAAAGGAGATGGGGCAGCGACATTGTAATCTTCAACATCCCCGGACAAATATGAGGATAACAACCAGACAAGTAAACCAAAGGATGCAACCGACGTAAACAAAGCTGTCAGAGAGTCTAGGTCTCAACGAGGTAGAAATAACGGCACAGTTCCGACTAGAAAAACAGTCAATTGTAGACCACTAAAAGTAGTATTAGCAAACAATAGACATAAGCAAATTTTGCTGGTAGCAGCTAAGAAAATAAGTAATGATAGCGGGCAATTATAAGTAAAGACATGACAAAACCTCAACAAGAAGAAAAGAGGGAAAGGAGGCGACAAAGGCTTAATGAAGGTGGTAAACAAGAAACCCTACAAAGGCACCTCGCAACAGGGGAAGGAATTAGCCCCATCATGAATTATGAAGGTAACATGGACCGTCCATACCTAAAAAACGGAACAGAGGAAGTAAATAATACAATTCATGAAATGGAAATTCTTCAACATATATATACCTTTGGTAAGAAGCTCTCTATAACTCTCTACTACAGTCATCGACTAGGGCACCAAATCTGCAGACTTGCCACGTGTCTAGGATGCTTGTTTTACCAGTAAGGGGCACAGGATATTATGTACATATGTGAAAGTCATATATACTAACGTGGACACTCTATCCAAAGCCAAGAAATATGAAAAACTAAACCAGATGAAAAAGCCTGAAATTAGTATTTTCTAAAAATCTTGTTTTTGAGATCGCTAAAGAACAATTAAACATAGAAGGATATGATCTTCACATATCAGGCTGGGAAAGAAGAGGAGTGGCAATTTACAGGGCTGTTAATCTTCAAGTTACCGAGATTGAACCTAAACAAATATATGAGGACTCTGGCTGGTGTAAAATCTCTTTGTTCAATAATGATAAACGAATGATGATATGTGTATATAGAAGCCTAAACAGCCAACTTGACAACAACGCAAATCTTGGTTAATTAATGCACGAAATTAGGGAGATGAATCCATCAAACATCTTAATTGTGGGTGACCTTAATCATACAGACATAAATTGGGATAACATGACTACAGGTAAGAGACCCGATCATCTTGCCAGTATTTTGATGGAAATCATCAGGGACTCATTTTTATTTCATCATGTCAAACAACCAACTAGACATCGGGAAGTAAATCGGCCATCAATTCTGGATCTAATTATAACCAACGAGAATGATATGGTGGATAGTGATGATATCACAGTGCTACCATGCATTGGAAAGTGTAACCATGTTACCTTGACCTTTAATTATAAAAGGTATACAGCAGAGGAAGAATCGAAAAGGAAAACGAGTCGAAACTTTCAGAAAGGGAATTATAAACAGTTTACGCAACGATCTTAAACAAGACAACTGGAATCAGCTAGACAACGCGGACTGTTTAGACGAAACATGGAATGTCTTTGTTGAAAAGTTACAAGATACAAAAGAAAAGCATATACCGGTGAACAACGCTTTCAATGTGAATTCGAAACGTTCCTTGTATTAAAAAACACCCACTACAAGCAATGGGGAGAAAACATCAAATTGTCATTGCAAAACACCAGAAAATTATGAACGCTATCGACAAGCACGAAATAGAACAAGTGCTATCATAAGAAAATCAAGATATGTTTTTGAACAAAAACTAGCTGAAAAAAATAAAGAACATCCCAAAGGCCTTTGGAAACATCAAAAATCGAAACCAGAGAACCTGTTACACCTCCAACCAACATACATATCACAGAAGAAAGAGTTGAAAAGGCAATACAAAGTGTTATTCCAAGTAAGAGTCTAAAACTGTTTTTTGGAGGCGGCATCAGAACTTAAAAGACCACTAACAAGATGTACCATAATATTTAGGAAATCACATCTTCAAAGTACCATCCCCATATCATTGAAATTGGCAAACCTAACACCAATATTTTAAAATGGAAAAAAGAAATTACCAAGTAACTACCGCCCTATAGGTTTAACATCAGAAGCCAGTAAAATTATGCAAAGAATAGTGAGAGACGAGCTTTTAAAACATATGGCGGAAAACAACGTTTTCAGTACGCAGGTCGCTCCTGCACCACACAACCTATTGAAAGTCTAGAGGACTGGACCAAAGCACTTGACAACAATGTAACAACCGATATAATTTATTTGGATTAGTGTTAAGCTCTCGATAAAGTGTTGCATAGAAGATTACTGTCCAAACTTAAAGCATATAGTGTTGATGGTCCAGAATGGATCAGAGCGTTCCTACAGGATCTCAAACAGCAAGTGGACATAAATGGATCACAATCTAGCCAATCATCTGTGGTGTCCCCCAAGGAAGTGTTTTGGGGCCAATTCTATTCCTCATCTACATAAATGATTTTCCAGACCAATCACTCAGTCCAACAAAGTTGTTTGCGTACGACTCAAAATACATAGGCGAATAGAGAATCAACTAGACCAACAACTGTTACAAAATGATATTAACTCCGTGTGTACTTGGACGACAAAATGGTTGATGAAACTAAACTTCGTAAAATGCAAGCAACTCAGAATTGAAAAATCGGAAAACCCAGCGCAATATACTATATAGAACAAGATCATTCAACATCTAACATAAGAACTGTCGTGAAGGAAAAGGATCTTGGTGTCATCGTCGACAATTCCTGTAAATCTAACGACCATGTATCAGTTTCGGTATCAAAAGCCAACAGGATCCTAGGCCTAATACTCAGGTCCTTAACATATGTAGACGAAGCAATGTTTTTGACATTATATACGTCGTTAGTCAGACCACACTTAGAATACTCATCCGTTGTCTGGTCTCCAAGCTAAGAATAGGATAAAATACTGCTGGAAACCTAAAAGATCTTGCTTATCTAGAAAGACTAGGATTATCAAACTTGGAATACCAACGTAATAGAGCAGACTTCATTCTGCTCTTCAAAGTTTAGAAGGAATAGAAATAGTAGATTACAAAAATACGTTCAAACATGAACCAACGAACGTACAAGAGGCTTCACAAGAAAGTTTTTCAAACGGAGGACGCGTAAACTTGTCTTCAGCAACCACTTCTGTTCCAGGGTGGAAGACATCTGGAATAATTTGCCAGAAAATGTGGCTAACTCTCCAAATGCACCATACGAAGCTAAAGCCCTTACCATTGGCGTCTACAACTATGTGAACTATGTGAATGCATCACATTGTTCTCGCATATAATGTACGGACTTTGGAGGTGATATATTAGGACTAACATAATCTCTGTTTGACTTTAAAGGGCTATTTTGTTCAGACTTGTATGCAGAGCTATGAAGACACCCTATGCTGTTTGATCGATGAATCTTATAATCTAATAAGCATGTATTTATTCATAGCAGGTATATGCTGCATTTATGGTTATCTTACCACTTGGTCGTCAGGCGCGTAGCTGCATACACGCTGGTACGCAAGTGAATCCACCAAATTTTCAATCCAATAAACAGAAGAAAATAAAAACACTATTGGTTGAACCCTTTGTCACATACCCAGCGCCCACCCCTAATCCCCCTACCAAGGTCCTGCCCTGTACCAGTTCCTAAATGATTCACTCCAAACAAGGGCTAGCCATGCCCCTGGTCGTCAAACGCCAAAACTAAGCTCACCTTGTATCGTCCATGTATTCTTCTGAAAAGACAAAGAAAATATTTATAATTTGTTAGCCCTTCTACGATATTCAGTCGAATGATAAAATTTAATGATAAATAAAATCAACAAATAACAAGAATCATATGTCTAAACATTGTTTTTTCCCCAAAGATACTGCTAATGTTGTTTGCAATGGTTATTCCGTCTTTGCGTATTGCAGAGTTATCTTCTCTTGGGAGCAGGTATCGATTGTTTCGTCACTTGTTTGTCAGAGCAACGTCATCAACTTTTGAGAAAACGACGTAATTTTCTCACACAAACCAATGACGTAACAATCAATACCTGCTCCCAAGAGAAGATAACTCTGCAATACGCAAAGACGGAATGCAGCGCTGTATTGAAGTTGAGGTATATGTAACACAGAGGTTGCAGTATATGTTTCACTTAAGCAGCAATATCTGTGATACAAAACCAATCGGGAACCATCGACTCTTTTCCTAGACCAGAACTTTCTCGTTTACGACAAGAGCCGAAGGATCCTGATTGTAAACATTACTAACAACAATTACACTAACATCATAACTTACAACATAGATAATTGATGACATCTTACTCACCGAGAAGGTGGCGAGAGCGGTACCGTACGACTGTCGGGCGGCGGTTCCGTACAGGTAACCGCCAAACTGGTGTGTGTCGTTGAGGGAGGTGAGTACATGCACCCCCTCGGAGATCACTATGGATGAAACGATCTCGTGGTTTACGTCATTATTTATGTCCGTCACTGGCGTCCAGGACAGACCCTGCAGACTCGTGCTGCTGCCGTCCAGTCGGAGGTCTTCCGAGAGCCCTTGAGGGGAGATAACTACCACGTTGTGCGTATACGTAACCGGAAGTGACTTTGTTGGTGTAATGAAGACATAACTGTTACCGTAATTTGTTATTGGTGGAATAATCGTCATTGTTACGTCAGTCATAACGTTATCAGAGTTCTCATCTTTATCGCCAAATAAGGCAACAAGAACGGGATAGGAGGAGATCACAATGGCATAAGATCCACTCCCATCCGACCCCAGTTCTGTTATTACGAATTCTCCGGCCAGATCTATTCCGTAGTATACACTATCCACATATACCTCAGTGTTATCTACCGTGCTTACAATTTTGATAAAGTCCCTTTTAACTTTTGGATTAGAAACGATAATGTGTTTTTGCCCTAGTTCTGATATCGGTGGCATTTGCTCCAAGGCTGCGTCGGTTTCGCCATCGTTGTTGATAGACAGGTCGATATTCCCGCTATAAACTGCCACCGGCTTAGTGGCAAGCACTCGGATTCCGGTCAGGTCCTCTGACGAAGATATCACGATACTCTCATATTGGGCCAGACTTACACTTGCTATATCTGTTCCAGTATAATAAATTCCATTAATTTCTAATTCCACTTCTTCACTTCCAGGAAATAGTTGAATACTTGTGTCCGAATATGCGGCTGCTATGACAAGTATGGCTTTGTCTGTGGTCGGAGGGATTGGACTGAACGTGACAATACGATAGTCTGTTCCGAGTGTTTCCGTGGGGAATACCAACATACTACCCAGACTTCCAGACTTCCCATACGATACTGAAACGACCACGTCATAACTTGTGTTAATGACTATGGCAGTGTCTGTTATAACATTGACGGGAACTACTTCAAAATTTTGAATATTAATGCTTACTCGATTTGGTGGAGTAACGGAAAAAGAACTAGAGAACCTAGAAGCGGAACCCTGCCGAATGATTGGAGTTCTGATGGTTCCAGGAACTGCTGACGTGACTGTTGGGTTTGAAGCAATGTGGATCTGGAATATCTCCCCCGACGTTGTGATCGTGAAAGGTACAACTATGAATTCTTTTCCGGAATGGTCATAGCACCTCTGAAAAGGAGTAAAATAACATCACTTCTTAATCATTCTTTTGCGTCCTGTTCTTTCATAGACTCGCCTTCGTGTTCTGTAAAGTCGACTTGCCTTAACGTTCTACAGTAGACTAGCCATCATGTTCTAAAATAGACTCGCCGTTACATCCAGTGATGTTTTGTACTTACATTATTGTATAACTGTACAGTGATTATTATAGGGAAAGACTAAGACTCTGGTCAACGGACTGTGTAGTACAGTCGAATATTATCGTGAAGGTTATAGCTGCTTTCATTTTTAACAAATCATTATTTACATATCTTTTGTATGGACGCAGGTTTCCAACATTTTCAGATCAAAGTGTCTGAAATTTATATAGGTGCGCAACTTATAGGAGTTTTTACGATATTACAGAACAGGTTTACCAAATATCCACAAGTTTACCTTCGATAGACTCCGGTCCAAAAATACGTACAATAACGTAAGGACGACGCACCAAGCCCACATGTCTGGGCTGCTGCAGCTCTCTATGAAAGAAAAATAAATACTACATCGCAGTAATTTCTTGATGTTTTAATCAATGTTAAAGTCACGTACCATGAACTCGGGTACCGTTGAAAAAGTACAAGAATAGAAGACCTGTTGTTCCGGACGGGTAAGGGTAACGTGCATACCAAATACTACGCGATCAGCAAGAATACAAGTACCGGTTGTAATATAAGGTATCTATCATTTATACAAAAGAGTTTAACAAATCGCGTACGATGGACCCTGACATAAGCGATGCTTGGTTTTAAATATTTGATGTCGTTTAACGGATTGAGTGTATGTCACTGGCTGGTTGGGGCATGTGTCTGACGTCACTGACTAGTACAATGTAAGGACATGGTAGTATGTCACTGGCTGGTTGGGGCATTTGTCTGGTCTGACGTCACTGACTAGTATAATGTAAGGACATGGTAGTATGTCACTGGCTGGTTGGGGCATGTGTCTGGTCTGACGTCACTGACTAGTAAGGACATGATAGTATGTCACTGGCTGGTTGGGGCGTGTTTCTGACGTCTAGCACAGGTAAGGACATGTGTAGTGTGTCACTGGCTGGTTGGGGCATGTGTCTGACGTCACTGACTAGTACAATGTAAGGACATGGTAGTATGTCACTGGCTGGTTGGGGGATTTGTCTGGTCTGACGTCACTGACTAGTATAATGTAAGGACATGATAGTATGTCACTGGCTGGTTGGGGCGTGTTTCTGACGTCTAGCACAGGTAAGGACATGTGTATGGTGTCGCTGGCTGGTTGGAGCATGTGTCTGGTCTGACGTCACTGACTAGTAAGGACATGATATCATGTCACTGACTGGTTGGGGTATGTGTCTGACGTCACTGACTACTAAGGACATGATATCATGTCACTGGCTGGTTGGGGCGTGTTTCTGAGAACGTTAATGACTGGGTGAGAAATGTGTATGTTTTCAATGACTGGTTGAGACGTGATGATGTCAGTGGCTAGATAGGGCTTTTGTTTGACGTCAGAGATTGGATAAGACTTGCATCTGATATCTGTGGCTGGGTGAGACACGTGTCTCTCAGTTTATGATAGAGATGTTATCTGATGTCAGTGATAGGACAGGTTGTCTGACGTCGGTAATTAAGTTGGCAACTGTCGCAATCCCTATGTAAATAATCACATGTGTCTATACAAATCTCGCCTAGTTAGCTACAGGTCTCTATCTGTATATCGACAAAGCCTCGTGTTTGGCAACTTAAGAATCTTCCCCCTCGGGTTGAGGTTCCCCTATCTCACCCCGAAGGAGGTGAGATATTCTATTAATCCCGCCTAGTTACATCTACCTACATAATTATTTATATATCTCACTTAGTTACCTTCATGGTTATATATATCCCGCCTAGGTACCAACATGTTAATATATATCCTGCCTAGTTACCAACATGTTAATATATATCCCGCCTAGTTACCAACATGTTAATATATATCCTGCCTAGTTACCTACATTTTTATATAAATACTTCCTAGTTACCAACAAGTTTATTTATATCCCGCCTAGTTACCTACATATTTTTAGTTTTGATTCCAGAACTGATTCTGTACTTGATTCTATTGTGGTTGAAAGTGACGAAATATGTGATATTTTGAAAATTCTTAAATTAGGAAAAGCATCTGGTCATGATACTATAAGTCATCATATGCTAAAATTTACAGCAAATTCTATGTGTAAGCCATTGGCAATTATTTTTAATATGTCACTAAATTCTAAAATATTCCCTGAAATATGGAAACAGGGTATTATTTTACCTCTGTTCAAAAAGGTTGATAGACACTTGGTGTCAAATTAACGACCAATTACCTTGTTGTCTTGTATAGGTAAGGTTTTTGAAAGAGTTGTATTTAAACACATCTATAATTTTTTCCTTGATCATTTTTTATTTTACGAAAAACAATCTAGTTTTATGATTCATCATTCCACTGTCCATCAGTTAATAGAAATTTCCCATAATATATGTTGTTCATTAGAAGAAAAAAAACATACTTGTCTAATTTTTTGTGATATATCGAAGGCTTTTGACCGAGTTTGGCATATGGGTCTTTTACATAAATTGCATGCTTATGGTATTAGAGATGGTTTACTTCATTGGTTAAAAAATTACATTTCAAACAGACAACAACAGGTTCTTGTTAAAGGTGTGTATTCTAATATAGGTTACACAAATGCTGGTGTACCACAAGGAAGTGTGTTAGGTCCTCTGTTATTTTTGGTTTATATTAATGATATTGTTGATAATTTAAATAGTATTTCACGCTTATTTGCCGATGATACCTCTTTGGTGTATTCTTCGTCTTCTTATGCTGATATTGAAATGTGTGTAAACAGAGATTTGGAAAAACTTGACAAATGGTCACGGGATTGGCTTACTAAATTCAATCAACAGAAAACTGATATGTTATTAAAATCTAATTCGCGAAATATACTTCCTTTACAGATTTGTTTTGGTACTGAGACTCTGAATTGTGTTGAAAGTCATAAACATTTAGGCGTAATATTTAGTGCAGATGCAAAATGGTCTTTACATATTTCCGAAATTCAAAAAACATGCATGAAAAAGGAATCAGTACTACGAAAGTTTAAATTACTGTTGAGTAGGAAAACTTTGTTAAGAATATATAAAGTATTTGTGTTGCCTGTGTTGGAATATGCCTGTGAAGTTTGGGATGGTTGTTCTCTGGCAGATCTAACTAAACTTGAACAAGTTCAGCTTGAAGCAGCAAGAATTATTACTGACCTACCCTCTTTTTCTAGTAAACAATCACTGTATCAAGAATCCCCACTTGAACCTCTATCTGAAAGAAGAAAACTTAAGAAAATTTCCCTAATGTACAAACTCCATAATAAACAAACACCTTCTTATTTAACTAACATTCTTCCTCCTAAAGTAGCTACAACTTGAGAAATACTGAAAACTACACTGTTCCCAATTTCCGACTGTTTTATAGTTCATTCAAATCCTTTATTCCTTCTTCTATAAGACTATGGAACGATTTACCAAATACTGTCAGAGAGCAGCCATCCGTTAACATTTTTAAATCATCGACTTGTTGCCTATTTTTTCATGTAGGAAATCGAAAACTAAATATTTTACATACACGATGCGTCATTCATGTAGTAGTTTAAATTATGATTTGTATAGAGTTAATATTGTAGATGATCCAATGAGTGCATGTGGAAATGAGTGTGAAAATGCAGCCCATTATTTTTTTGATTGTATGCTGTATATCAGACAAAGACAAATTTTGATCGATGATATCTCATGTTATTGTAATATTTCTCTAAATGTTATTATGTACGGTTCTCCAAACTTGTCAGATGAAGACAATGAAAATATCTTCCATATAGTCCAAACCTACATTAAAAATAGTAACAGATTTTAAGGTCAGTAGTATTATCCTATCATCTCTCTTTCTTATTCTTCTACAAAAAAATATTCTTCCCGTTTCCCTTCCTTTCCTCTTTGTTCATATATATTATAAATATATTTGTTGTTGTTGTCATGTAATCAATATAATGAAATGTATTGGAGAGGGCGTTTCTAAGTTGAGATAACTTGTGCCTAATCCTTTTTGTTGAATGACAAATAAAAAATGTTTAAATCAAACCTACATATTTATATATCCCGCCTAGCTACCTACTTGTTTATATACCCCGTCTAGTTACATGTATCTACATAATTATATATATCTCACCTAGTTACCTCCATAATTATATTTATCACATCATCGACCTGTTATCCAGTGAATTCGCCCGTGAAATATTTTTACATATGTCACTAGTGTGATATACCCTTGAACGTTTTTCATTGGCTGTACCACTCAAAAATCGACTGTGACGTCATAATATGGACAATGATGTGACGTTACAATTGTGAATGGCGCAACAAAATGGCTGTCTCCGTTTGATTAAGCTCTCTACATTTTGGTTTTAAAACATGTCAAAATGTAAGTTTTCTGAGTTATGTGATAAAAAGTATTTTAAATTTGTTTTCATTTCATATGAGATTTTATGAATCGAGTCTTATGAGTTTTTATTTTTGCGAGCCTCGGCTATATATGTACCACCTTGTTACCTTGTAACATGTTTATATATATCCCGCCTAGTTACATGTACCCACATACTTATATATATAT